CAACCTGGGCCAGGGCCTCCCCACCCTCCCAGCCAGCAATTCCTTCCCTATCTCCCATCTCTCCCTGCCCTCTGGCACTGGGAAGCCATTCCATGTCCTGCCCCTCCAGACCCTTGTAAACAGTCTCTCTCCCTCTTTCCTGTAGATCCTTCAGGTCCTGGAAGGTCACAGTCAGGAACCTTGAAGCCTCTCTCCAGGCTGGACAATCCCAGCTCTCCCAGCCTTTCCTCAGCATGGGAATGTCTCATTCTGCAGAGCAACAATCCACCTTAAAGTCAGTGTGTTCTGATCCTGTGAGTGCTGGAGCTTGTGGGAGTGCATTAATAGTAAATGAAAGCAGTGTGTGGGGAAAAAAAAAAAAAAAAAAAAGATATTTGATCACAAACTGCCTGGAAAAACAGGAGGGAGAAGGGCCAGGAAGCATGGAAGTGTGGCAGGGATGGAGGTGGGAGCTCCACAACCAACCATCAGACAAGTGAGTTTTTCCCCAGGTTTATTTACTAAATGGCTTCACATTCAATGAAATAGTTACAACAAATACTTACAGAGCACAAGAGCAACACCTTGGGAACTACCAAAGACCCCAAAACACCTCACAGTTCTTTTCCTGTGGGACTCAAATGCCACTTTTGTAAACAAGAACAAACTCGGGACGTTGCTGCTGGAGAAAAAGCAAAGAGATGCACAGGTAAAACCACTCCACGGGCACAAACCACAGGGATCAGCTCTGACTCCAGGGCAAACCCTCGGGGCGAGGCCGAGTCCCATTTGGTACATTATTCTCTGTACAGTTATTAAATCCTGCTAAAAATCCTTGGGTTTAAAATACAGCACAGCTCATAAGGCAAAAAAGTAGGAATTATCATCCAGTTCTCTGCATTTCAGGTCAAGAGGAAGAATTTAAGGCAAGTTGGGGCGTTTTGCATTGTTTCATACAGTGGACGGGGACTTACAGATGGGAACTTCATGGAAATAACACATGGAAATAATACCCCCCCCCCAGAAAAAACCTGTCTGGGATGTGGACTGGACACATTTACCCCTCAAGAAATTCCAACTAGGTTTCCTGAAAGGAAAGCATTCCTAGGAAGAGAGACTGTCAAGCAGCTTAAAGATGAGTATCTTAAAAAAAGCAGAAGTTCAGGAGCTGTTTGTGCACATATAAACTCACTGCAACCCGTTGTAAAGTGCTTTACAGATAAATGGAGAGAGTCAGAACTGGAACTGGATGATAATTTGGAGTTGTTGTGACATCTTAGTTGAAGGTCCTTAATTTTTAACCTGCAGACAGACATTCCCATGAGATTATTGATCTTTAAAAGCAGATTTACACTGATTGTTGTGTCTGATCCTCCTCTACCCAAAGCACTTCAGGGACAGGACAAGCAGCACCTGGATGGGAAATGGGGATGGCATGATTTTAAGGGACATGATTCCCTAAGAACTGCCCGTGGCAGAAGGTGGGATGAGATGGGCTTTAAGGTCCCTTCCAACCCAAACCACTCTGGGATTTAACAGTCCCACTGCCTGGGGAATGAGAATAAAACATTTGGCAGCTTTAAGTGCTTTGAATGCTGCCATTGAAAGATGTTTATACAAACAACCACCTGACCCATGGATTTTTTATTCTGGTCCATCCCTGGAAGTGCCCAAGGCCAGGTTGGAGCAACCTGGGCCAGTGGAAGGTGTCCCTGCCCATGGCAGGGGTGGCACTGGATGGGCTTTAAGGTCCCTCCAACCCAAACCATTCCATGATTCCATGATTTCTTCTCCTCTCCACATACAAACATGCAAATACAGCCATGCAGCTCCTCGTGTCCTACCAAGAGATGCCCTGGAATAACTAAATCAGGTTATTATTGCTATAACTGAAATCCTTAGTGGGTTAAATCAACAATTTCAGCGTTTTCAATGCAGTTTACCTTATATACATTTAAAGTCCTGCTTAATTCTATCAAATCTGAAGCAGACCTGAAGGATTTTATAGTCTCTGCAAAAACCTGTTATTTATGAGCAATGTTTTATGGTCAAACACTCTCCTTGACCAGTTCAATCTGAGTGTCCAGGATGGAAGAACAGGACCAGTTCTGCTTCCCTGGCTGCAAGCAGCTCCACAGGAACTCAGAATAAATCCAGTGCACTCAACACCCCCCAGCTCAACAGAATTATAAAGAAATGGCTTTTAAAGCAACTATTTCAAATATTATTGCACTGCCAAAAATAATACTACGTAGGCTTGAAAACCAAGGGGAAACAAACATTAATTTAACATGTTACAACAAAGGGAAAGGAACTCTGGAGGCAGAAAAACTCCTCAGTACCAGGCCTGGCAAAAGGCAGACAGAGAGCAACACAAATCCAAGGTAACCGTGATCAGAGGACAACCCCAAATAGTCTAAATTAGCTAAAATTCGATTTTAATTCTATTTTAAATAAAAGTTCTAACTCACAGCGTTGGGTTCTATCCCTCTGCCCCAATTTTCACCGAGTTCTGGGCTGTCACACAGTGACACTGTGGTTGATCCCAGGGATGACTTTGGCCTCAGCAGGACCTGGGTCTGGGATGAGCCCTGGGCTTTGACCTCACTGCACTGGTGCTAAAGGCAAAACTGTGTGAAGAGCCCGAGCTGGGATCTCCCTGTTTGTGAGAATGGGAACAACAAACAGATGTGAAATAAAACCCCACTGCAGTACCCAGGGAGGAGCTCGCTGTGTGATCTGGGACAGCTCTGCAGGCACGGGGGGATGGAGCAAAGAAGGAACTGGAACAACCCAAATGTGTTTTATGCACTGAAACCAGGAACAGCTCCCTTGCCAACCCCACATTTAGCACCATTTGTAGATGGGAACACTCTGAGGAAGCAGATCATACATTCTTAAAAAAGGAGGGAACACGGACACGAGTGCGCTTGGGGGGAGGAGGGGACAGGCTGGGCTCTGGGGGTTGTTGTGCATCATGCTGGGAATGCTGCTGCTGGGATTTTTCCTTGCATTCCAACCGAAAACACGCAGCAAGATGAAGTCAGACCATCTAGCAGTCGTTTCTCCACAGAAAGAAAACGGGAGGGAAAGTTAAAAATGCAATTTCTTGCCATCAGACCCAAAAACGCCGTGAAGAGGCAAGAAACTTGCCCTGGAAATGTCCCTAAGGAGTCCCTAATGATCCTCCCAGCCCTCCTACCAGCGAGCAGGTAACAAAGGAGAGTGTACAGGCAACATCCTATGGCATTTATTATTTACAGACCTTGAGATACAGAAACAAGGCAGCCCTTGAGTTACTGGTCATAAAAAACCCATGAAGCACTGGCGCTTCCTCCGTGTGCAGCCACAGCCAGGCACCACTCAGCAAACCCTGCACTCACACACACACTCACACAGCTCTCACCCCAAGCACAGTAAACTTCATATTCCAGAGGAGGCAGGAGGAAGAGAGGAAAGCTCTAGAAAGGGTTAGATGGACAAGTTTCCAACCGGCTCCCAGGCGTGGACAGTGCTCCCTAAACCCCACTGCCGCGGACAGGGGGGCAGCTAAAGCCAGCTGGTGAAGCAGCTTTCCATCCCTTTGCTGCTGAAAGAACAAAGGCCAATTATGGGAAGAAAACAAATCCTCATTTTAATCCCAACCTCGGCAGGTTCCTCAGCTGGCAGCTCCGGGCCCGCAGCACGGATCGTCTCCAAGCAGCTCCGGCTCCGTGCGGCACCGGTGAGGTGGGCGGGTCCCGCCCTCCGTCAGAGCGCGGTGAGGCCGAAGTTGCAGCGGCAGTACATCATCCCGGCAGAGTCCAGCCACGTGTCCGAGATGGGCTCGTACCTCTGCACCGTGTTCAGGTAGGAGGAGCCCGAGTGCCCCCCCACCACGTACAGGCAGTTATCGATCACCGCCGCCCCGACCCCTGCGGGGGGAAACGCTGTCAGACACGGCTGGGACGGGCACCTCTGCTCCGAGACAGGGCTGGGACAGGCACCTCTGCTCTGAGACAGGGCTGGCATGGGCACCTCTGCTCTGAGACAGGGATGGGACAGGCACCTCTGCTCTGAGACAGGGCTGGGACGGGCACCTCTGCTCTGAGACAGGGCTGGCATGGGCACCTCTGCTCTGAGACAGGGATGGGACGGGCACCTCTGCTCTGAGACAGGGCTGGGATGGGCACCTCTGCTCTGAGACAGGGCTGGGACGGGCACCTCTGCTCTGAGACAGGGCTGGCATGGGCACCTCTGCTCTGAGACAGGGCTGGCATGGGCACCTCTGCTCTGAGACAGGGCTGGCATGGGCACCTCTGCTCCTGGCTGCAACCCCCCCCCCCCCCCCACCTCAACAGCCTCCTGTCTGGGGTGTCCCTAAAGAAAACGGGTGTCAGGGAAGAGTCCTTTCTGGTCAGGTCAGACACCCCTTTTTTACTGCTCTCGTGCCCTTTCCTGTGATAAAACAATGTTCTGTCCCACAACACCTTGGCAGGGAGGCAGAAGAGACTGGAGAATAGAATCATGGAATACCCTGAGCAGGAAGGGACCCACAAGAACCATCCAGTCCAAGCCCTGGCCCTGCCCAGACACCCCAACAATCCCCCCTGTCCCTCAGAGCGTTGTCCAAACCCTCCTGGAGCTCTGGCAGCCTTGGGGCCGTGCCCACTGCCCTGGGGAGCCTGGGCAGTGCCAACCACCCTCTGGGGGAAGAACCTTGTCCTGAGATCCAACCTGACCCTGCCCTGGCACAGCTCCAGCCCTTCCCTGGGTCCTATCCCTGTCACAGGGAGCAGGGATTGAGCTGCCCCTCGGGAGGAGCTGCAGCTGCACCACAGTGATGCACCCCTGAGTGTCCACATCAAACACAGCAGGACAGTGCCACAGATCTGCTGAAACGGCCTCAAAATCAATGCAAATGCAGGAGGTAGAATAGAAATATTACTCCATGTTGTTTTACCTACAGCTCAGTATTAATAAGCTGGATTTAGAGGTAAATAAAGATTCTTTCCCAGAGCTGACTAAGTGACCTTCACCCCCAGATGAAGTGCAGTGCTGTGCAGACTTTAACTGTAGGTTCTATCAGCTCAGACAGGTCATCCCTGACAGGACACCCGAGTTCCCCCTGCAGGTCCCACCTGTCCTGGGCTCCTTCATGGGCCGACACACCGTCCACTGGTTCTGGTGGGGGTCGTATCTCTCGATGCTGGACAGGTGGGACACCCCGTTGTGTCCCCCCACCACGAAGATGAAGCCCAGCATGACCCCCACGCCGAAGTTGATCCGCTTGTCAGCCATGGAGGCCACGGGCTCCCAGGAGTTCTTGCTTGGATCGTAGCGCTCCACGCTGCAGGGACAAACACAGCCTCTGTCACAGGCACAGCCAGTCCTGCCCAGCACAGGAACAGTGAAACACAAAGGCAAGTGCTGGAGCTGATGGAAAATGCCCTGGTGCAGTTGCTTTGCAGCACCGACAGACCGTGTGTTACCACCTCGGAAGCACCAATCCTGTCCCAGGGTCCTTCCACAACCAAAGTAGGTGGAGGGTCCCAACAGGGTTGCCAAAAACCAGTTTTTTAACATATTTTTTTCAGTCTAAGTTTGGACTCCATGATCTCAGAGGCCTTTTCCCACCTCAACGATTCTGTGATGTTTCCCCCTGACACAGTGACTGCAGCTCAGCCTCTCTGATGTCCTCGTGCCACTGTCCTGGACCTTCAGGTCACACCCTGAAACCACCCAAGCTCCCTCAGAGGTGAAAGTTCTTTCCAGGATGTCTGGTGCTAATATTTTAAAAATCAACTCACGGAAAACTGAACACAATGCAGATCCACAATGCATCTATTTGGGTAACACAGCAAATCAAAAACTTCCTTGAGGTTTGCCTGAAATAACATTCAGAGAGGAAAGTAGAGAGTGTATTTATATTCCTCAGGAAAAGCAGTAAAGAGGCTGCTGGTCCAACACTGAGGGTAGTAGAGGGATTGAATGGAAATGAATCGTCATCATTATTAATTTTTGTGATCACTGGAGCTGTACAGATGGTCAGTCATTAACACACTAGTGGCACTGAGCTGTTCCCTGTCCAAGTGCAGCTCCAGGAGCACAACGGGGCAAAAAAAGGGGGAGAGAAGATCAGCAGCAGCACAGAGTTGAGAGAAAAGGTGGTTAATTACCCAGCACTGAGCTTGGTTTAATGCCAGAGCTTGTAGGAGCCTGCATGGCAAGGTGTAGGATTCACTTCTTGAATAATTAATCCAAATTATTCACAGAATCACAGAATATCCTGAGTTGGAAGGGACCCACAAGGACCATCCAGTCCAACTCCTGACCCTGCACAGGCTCATCCCCAGGGGTCACACCCTGTGCCTGAAGGGATCATCCAAACCCTTCTGGAGCTCTGGCAGCCTTGGGGCCGTGCCCACTGCCCTGGGGAGCCTGGGCAGTGCCAACCACCCTCAGGGGGAAGACCCTCGTCCTGAGATCCAACCTGACCCTGCCCTGGCACAGCTCCAGCCGTGGCACTCGGTGCTCTGCTGTGGAGCACTGGGCACCTTCCGAAGGATTTCCAAGAGAACCCAAACCCACGAGTGAGTTAAAACACACCTTCCCAGCTGAACTACGAGGCTGACACAGCAGAGGGAGGGTTTATGCCGCCCCCAGGGTACCGAGGATGGTTTGAGCGGAGCTGGCAGGGCTGCCCCGGCGCGGGTACCTGTTCATGTGCGCGGGCCCGTAGCCCCCGATGGCGTAGATCATCCCGTCCAGCACGGCCGCCGCGAAGCAGCTCCGCGTCTTCGTCATGGGGGCCACCAGCTGCCACTCCTTCACCTTGGGCAGGTACTTCTCCACCGTGCGCAGGTAGGACTGCCCGTCGTAGCCGCCCAGGGCGTAGAGCTCCCCGGCCAGCACCACCACGGCCAGCGTGCTGCGGCTCTCGAACATGCGCTCCAGCGAGCTCCACGTGTTGGTGTCGGGGTCCCAGCACTCCACCGAGCTCTCGTGCTTCCTGTAGCTGATGCCCTGGCACACGTGCGTGGCGATCCCGCCCACCACGTAGATCTTCTGCTCCAGGGCGCAGATCCCGAACTCGTAGCGCGGGATGCTCAGCGGGGCCAGGCCGATCCAGGAGTCGTTCTGCGGGAAGTACATCTCCATGCTGGAACGGGAACACAGGGATCACGTGAGGAAACCCAAACACATCATCCTGGAGAAGTACATCTCCATGCTGGAACGGGAACACAGGGATCACGTGAGGAAACCCAAACACATCATCCTGGAGAAGTACATCTCCATGCTGGAATGGGAACACAGGGATCACGTGAGGAAACCCAAACACATCATCCTGGAGAAGTACATCTCCATGCTGGAATGGGAACACAGGGATCATGTGAGGAAACCCAGCTAGATCATTCTAGGGAAGTACATCTCCATGCTGGAAAACAGGGATCATGTGAGAAAATCCAGCTAGACTGTCCTGGAGAAGTACATCTCCATGCTGGGACAGGAAAACAGGGATCATGTGGGAAAACCCAACTAGATTGTCCTGGGGGAAACACATCTCCATGCTGGGACAGGAAAACAGGGATCAGGTGGGAAAACCTAATTGGAGTAATCCTGAGGGAAGTACATCTCCATGCTGGGACAGGATAACAGGGATCATTTGAGAAAATCCAACTAGACTGTCCTGGGGGAAATACATCTCCATGCTGGAAAACGGGGATCACATGAGAAAACCCAACTAGATCATTCTGGAGAAGTACATCTCCATGCTGGGACAGGAAAACAGGGATCATGTGGGAAAATCTAATTGAAGTTGTCCTGGGGGAAGTACATCTCCATGCTGGAAAACAGGGATCAAGTGAGAAAACCCAACTAGATTGTTCTGGAGAAGTACATCTCCATGCTGGAATGGGAAAACAGGGATCACGTGAGAAAATCCAACTAGATTGTTCTGGGGGAAATACATCTCATGCTGGAACGGGAAAACAGGGATCAGGTGGGAAAACCTAATTGGAGTCATCCTGAGGGAAGTACATCTCCATGCTGGGACAGGATAACAGGGATCATTTGAGAAAATCCAACTAGAATGTCCTGGGGGAAATACATCTCCACGCTGGAAAACAGGGATCAAGTGAGAAAACCCAACTAGATCATTCTGGAGAAGTACATCTCCATGCTGGGACAGGAAAACAGGGATCATGTGGGACAGGAAAACAGGGATCATGTGGGAAAACCCAACTAAAAACCCAAGGGACGAGAAGGGTAAGTTTAAAGAAAAAAAAAAAAAAAAGAACAGCCACCAAGATCAGAGAGAGAAGAGAAAATTAGAGAGGAGGAGACACGTTCTATATTTATGCACAAACATACACTTGGAAAGTATAATTTGCAGTTTTATAAACACATTTTACGTGCGCTCTATAATTTCAACAAAATGTCAGCGGAGAACAAAGCAATCTGAAAAATGTGTCTTTAAAATGCATTTCCTTCTAATTATACTCAGAACACGGTGGACTGAGCCTACTCGATATAAAGTCTAGTCAATCCACCTAAACCGCTTAATTAATAAATGACTTCAATAATTAAGAGGCTCTCCAGTAGAGAGGAAATGTGAACCATCCAAGAGCAGGAGGTCCCTGGAGAGCTGACAGGCACTAAAAACCCAGAAGCAGGAGCTGCTGGAACACCAGGCTGGTGTTAGAGAATGTAGACTAAATACATTCTCAGGAATTTTGTTATGAAGAAGTAAAAAAGAAATCAAAATAATCCAAATTACACTGCTAGGTAACACTGTTACAGTCGCTGAAGAGGCTGGGAGAGAAGCAGAGCTGAAGAATATCAGAGGACAAGTTTATTCACTCAAACAGATTTTTTTATGAAGCACAAAACCCCCTTTATTTTTTAAATCTATAAACCTAACATGTAGTTTAATGTTGGTCCCTATAAATTAACTGAAAAACCTTAAAAATTAAATAATTTTGACAACCTCTCTGAACACGGGGAAAAGGAACAGACGGTTCTTCCCAGGTTTTTAAGAGTATATTCATATCAGCAAACGTGGAACTGTCATGGAAAAGAGTACCTTGGAGTGAACATCCCAGAATCCAGCTGGGGAACCAGTTCAGGCAGTCCCTGAGCACAGGGAACATTCATGGAGCTGATAAGGGCACTCAACATCAAAGCACTTTGTGTGTATGCACATATGTATATATATATATTTGTATAAATGGATATAAGCAGACACACAGACAGTTTAACTCCCAGTTCTGGAAATGTTAGTGCCATGTTAAAGCAAACCCAGCCACACCAGTTTGGGGAAACAAAACTATTCTTCTCTCTGTTACAATCCTTCTGCTCCCATGATGAGCCTCAGGGGTCTCCCCAGTGATGGAACAGGAGGTTCCTTCTGGAATCCAGGGAAGAGAGGATGGGCACTTACCTGCTCCTGCCAGCACAGACAGGGCACCTACAGACTGAAATCAGGATTGTATCGTGATCAAGAACCCCTTCCCAGGATCCCTGAGGCTGGAAAAGTCCTCCCAGCCCATGGATCCCCCCGTGCCCGATGCCCACCTTGTCCCCCAGCCCAGAGCACTGAGTGCCACGGCCAGGCCTTCCTGGGACACCTCCAGGGCTGGGCACTCCAAACCTCCCTGGGCAGCCCCTGCCAAGGCCTGACAGCCCTTTCCAGGCAGAAATTCCTCCTCCTGTCCCACCTGAGCCTCCCCTGGCACAGCTGGAGGCCGTTCCCTCTCCTCCTGTCCCTTGTTCCCTGGGAGCAGAGCCCGACCCCCCCCGGCTCCCCCCTCCTGTCAGGGAGTTGTGAGACCAGAAGGTCCCCCCTGAGCCTCCTTTTCTTCGCCTTTGCTCTCCTCTGAATAAGACTGTTTAAATTCCAAGGATTTTTGAGTTATCAGGAAGCATATTAAGTTAATTTTTTTGATTTTTTTTTTAATAATAATAAATCAGGGGAAAATCACGTAAAATGAAAATACCAGAAATGATAAAGAAGCAAGACACAAACTTCAGTTACCCATGTTATTAACTCAATCAACAGAATGAAAATGATTCCACAGCTATGTGTGTTGGCACAAGCAAAACCCTGCAGCACTTCAGGTTACTCATGAAATACAAAAGCATTTTGAATTGTGCTTGTTAAAAAAAAAAAAAAAAACAAAACCTGCTTAAGAGTTCTTATGAAGGAAAGCAGCAACTACACCCTGCAAATATGGGGGGACTTGAAGGTCTTTTCCAGCCTTGATTACTCTGAAATCACAGCTGTGTGAGTGTGTTACACAAGGAGTGTGTTACCCTGACCTGGGGTGATCAAGTCACACATGGCCACCACCCCCTTGGCCACTCCTTACCTCTCCAGGCAGGCAAAGAGCCCTGGGGTGATCCCAGACACCATGGCCACCCCTCCCTGTATCCATTCCTTACCCTTCCAAGCAGGCAAAGAGCCCTGGGGTGATCCCAGACACCATGAGCATCCCTCCCTGCATCCCTTCCTTACCTCTCCAGGCAGGCGAAGAGCCCTGGGGTGATCCCAGATCCCATGGCCATTCCTGCCTGTATCCATTCCTTACCCTTCCAGGCAGGCAAAGAGCCCTGGGGTGATCCCAGACCCCATGGCCACCCCTCCCTGTATCCCTTCCTTACCTCTCCAGGCAGGCGAAGAGCCCGGCCTTGCCCCCCACGGCACAGAGCACTTTGGGGGCGCAGCGGGGCCGCGTCATCAGCATGGTCTGGTGGGACAGTCTGTGCTCGGGCATGAAGTGGTACTTGAGGGCCTCGTTGAGCAGGTGCTTGCAGGTGTGGTCGTCCCGGATGAGGTGGTTGGCCTCGTAGAGGCGCGTGAGGAACTTGACGCTGAGCAGGGGCAGGCGCACGCAGTGCAGCAGCTGCGCCAGGTGCTTCTGGCGCTCCTGCACGTCGTACTTGATCCAGGACTCCAGCGCGTAGAACACGCTCTCCTCCGTCACCACGTTGAGGCAGTCGTTGGACACGATCTCGTCCAGCTCGGCGTGCGTCAGCTCCAGGAACTCCTCGGTCTGGCACACGTCCTCGAAGTTCTGGCAGATGTACTTGTTGGCCGCCAGGTACAGGTCGTGGCAGCCGTAGGTCTCGGCGAAGCGCGAGATGCCGATGCAGTTGCCGGGGTCCAGCTGGCTCTCCAGGAAGGCGCAGCACTCCTTGACCACCAGCTTCACCTGGAGCAGGTTGGCGGCGGGCAGCAGCGACTCCACGGTGTCCTGGGAGATGAAGACGGTGCCGGTGTAGGCGTACTCCACGATGGCCTGCAGCGCCGCCTCGGCCACGCACTGGAACTCCACCTCGGCGTTCTCCTTCTCCGACAGGTTCCCGGTGAACATGGCCTTGAAGTAGGGGCTGATGCTGGCCAGCACCACCTTGTGGGCGTGGATCTTGGCGTCGCCCACGCGCAGCACGACGTCGCACAGCTCACGGTGCTGCCGCAGCACGTTGAGGCCCTGCAGGAGCTGCTCCGAGTGCAGCGGGGTCAGCTTGGCCAGCAGGTACGGCGGGGACGACGGGTCCATCTGAGCGGGACACAGGGACGGTCACTGGGGCTCCACCCCACACACGCGTGCCACACGTAACATGTAACAAGCACTACCATCTCTGCTGTTATCTGAGCGGGTTTATTGATCCCCAGCTCACCTTTCCAACCCTCACGTGCGATGCTGTTTCACGCGAGTTAAATCAGGACCTTAACAGCCTGTGCCAGATCCACCTCCACATCAAAAACACACCTCAACCATCACTTTTTTTTGTTATGGAGTGAAATGCCTGTTTTCTGACGCATGGACTACGTGACAGGATTCTACTGGGGCAGCCTCAGGTTTGGGTACTACAATATCAGAGGGATCTAAAGCTGCTGGAGGGTGTCCAAAGGAGGGACATGAGGACGTGAAGAGCCTGGAGGGGCCATACAAGGAGCAGCTGAGGGCACTTGGCTTGTTCAGCTGGAAAACAGGAGACTGAGAGCAGAGTTCAGCAGGGGCTGCAGCTCCTCCTGAGGGGCAGCTCAATCTCTTCTCTCTTACCAGGGACAGGACCCAGGGAATAGCCTGGAATTGTGCCAGGGCAGGGTCAGGTTGGATCTCAGGACAAGGTTCTTCCCCCAGAGGGTGGTTGGCACTGCCCAGGCTCCCCAGGGCAGTGGGCACGGCCCCAAGGCTGCCAGAGCTCCAGGAGGGTTTGGATGATCCTCTGGGGCACAGGGAGGGATTGTTGGGGTGTCCTGGGCAGGGCCAGGGCTTGGACTGGATGATCCTTGGGGGTCCTTTCCAGCTCAGGACATTCCATGACTCTACATCAGGGATTTGAGAGAACTGAACAGTGACTAAAATAAAAATAAAGAGATAACTGAAGAATAGAACTGGCTTATTTTAGACCAAGTTTTAAAAGTTCTAAAACTCCTTTGTGCAGCCCAACTCCCGCCTGCTCAGTGCTCCTGGGGAGCAGCCCAGCCCTGCTGTGTCCCCCTCTCCCTCTCCTCTGTGGCAGGGCCCTCCCTCTCAGGGCCCAGCTCTCCATTCCCATTCCATGCCTTCCCTCTGCAAACCAGCCCCACAGAGCCAGGAGGGCAGGAAAAGCAGGAGCAGAGGCTCCTGTGCTCTGGATGCATGGAGCTCAGGAGAGCCTCATCTCACCTCACCTCATGGCTTTCACTGCCACAACATCCCTGTGGAGTGGCAGAGACCAGAGCTGGGGAATGCTGGGAGCTGGGCCTGCCTCCTCCATCAGGAGACAACAGTGGGAGCTGCTGAGGAGCTTCCCAGAGCTTCTGAGGGAGCAGGACCAGGTGGACACCCTGGAGTTATCAGCACTTCACCCCCTCCCAGCCCTGAGAGCCACCCACACTCCCACCATCACCAGGGGTGCAGAGGGAAGGGTCCTGCTCCTCCCCACAGCTCCACAAAACCCTCCTTCCCAAAGGTTCCAGTGGAAGCACTTGGATACCTGCTCTAATTGCAGCAGCATTGCAATTCCAAGGTGCTGCCCACCACTTTGTTCAGCCCCATCCCTGCACAGAGGTGGAGGGGGGATGTGTCAGCTCCTGGACCATGAGAAACAGCCCCACTGTTCCCCCCCAGCCCTCACTGAACAGCTGATTTCATGGCAATTCGATAAATGATCTCCCAGCTCTCACTCCTTCTATCTCAACAATAAGTTCATCATTTTTAGAGCTCCTTAACTGACACCTCCCTTGCAGGGAGCCCACTTAGAAGTGCTTCATCTGAAAGAACAAAAGGGGTTGCCAAGGTTTAAATGCAGAGTAGAAAGCACTGACAGGGACGTGAAGGATCACAGGTAGGGAGGGAAACCTCCTACCCATGGAAAGATACAGAAGCTCTCCTATTATAGTGCTACAGTAGAAAAAAATAACTGAAAGGAAGTATTTTAAGCACACCTGTAAAAGGCATGATAATATACAAAGTTTTCCCTATCAGAGTTTTGCAGCACAAATTGGAGGAATTAAAAAAATGAATTAAAAAAAAAAAGCTGTTCAGCAGCTAAAACACTTTATTTCCCCTTTGTGTCTGTGCTCTGGTCAAAACTTGATTGCACAAACACAGACACGTGGCAGGGAAAAGGAATGGTCACAGCTCAGTTTTATAACTATATAATTATAACTAACTATATTTAAGTCTCTCTACAGCAATTGAAGTTTTTATAGCACCCTAGTAGAACCTCTCACACCCCCTGCACACCTACACCACAGTTTGCTGGTATTTATTCCACTGCTCAGGAGGAACCAGCAGCTGGAACACGACCCAGCCTTGGACTGTACCCCAGTACAGGGGTTTGTGCCCCCAGCTCACATCAGTGGCCACCCCGGGGCTCTGGGCTGTCAGATTCTCCCAGGCTGGGCTTAAAACTCATCCTGAACAGCAAGTTATTGGAAATAAGGAGGTTACCCGGCAGAGCTGGCTCACTGAGGGATCTGACTCTGCCAAAACGCAGCGTGTGTGCAGAGCAGGAACCAGCAGCGAGAGCTCCGGGCACTTCTGTGCCCCGAGGGGGAATTTCAGTGCGTGCCAAGCCCCGATTTAGAGCTCGGAATTCGCGGGGCAGCAAAGCCACTGGGCTGGTTCTGGGAGTCCCGAGACAGCACAAACCCCAACCACACCCTGAGAGCCGGGCTGGGTTCGGGTCCGACACCCCGCACACAAAAAGGGCAAGAAAAAAGAAATACAAACAGAGAGCGCCCTGCTGACGGAATTGACGCTCTCCGTGTGTTCGTGCTCAGCGCTGGTGCCCAAATCCAACCCAACCTGCGCCGGGGCTGAGGGAGCAGGGCTGGGACAGCGCCCGCAGGGAGGACGGGGCTGGGAGCACCTATGGAAGGTGTCGCCCACGGCAGCGGGTGGAATGGGACGGGATTCAAGCCCCTTCCAACCCGAACCATTCCGGGATTCCATGAAAACACCACCGGCTCTTGTGTCCTCATCCCTGCCCCTTATCCCCGGCAGCGCCAGGCTGGACCAGGAGCAACCTGTGGAAGGTGTCCCTGAACACGGCAGGGGGTGGAACGGGACGGGATTTATGTCCCTTCCAACCCAAACCCTTCCGGGATTGCCGGGCTCCGCCGCTGCCGGCTCACACGGGGGTCTCCCCAGGGCGGGTCCCCCGAGCACCCGAGCCCGCTCCCGCTGCACCCCGCGCCAGGAGGCGGCGCTGCCCGCTGTACCGCGGCTCTCCCGGTGCTCTATCCCAGTGATTTGTCGCGGTGCTCTATCCCGGTCCCACCTGTCCCGGTGCCGGCCCGGCCCGGCCGCAGCGCCGCTCGCTCCGCTCCTCACCGCCCGCGACGTCACTTCCGCCCAGCCCGCCCCGCCAATCAGCGCCCGGGACGCCGCTCACACCCACCCCTGCCCCTTCCCGGCCGGGATCACCTGCACCGCGCGCGGGGGGGATGCATTACTGGTTCGCTTCCTCACCGCTCCCTAGCTGTGCCCTGTCCTCGTCTCTCCCTCAGAACCGCTTTGCGCTCCATCATCGGTGCAGTCGCGCCCCGTTTCACCCTCCGCGACGTGAGGAGACGGCGCGGAGATATGTGCGTGTCCCCCCCCCGGGTGGCCGCGGCGTGGTGTGCGCCGCGTCGGCGCGGTGCGCGGCGCCCCCTGGCGACGGCGGCGTTGCCGGGCGGGGCCTGAGGGGCCCCATGGCCGCGGGCCGGGGATATGGGCGAGCCCGGCGGGCACGGGCCGGGACACGGACCGGCATCGGCACCGGGATCCAGCGCACACGGACCGCGGGGCCGCGGCCGCGCCTGGGAGCGCGGCGCCCCCGCTGAGGAGGCTCCGGGCACGGAGCCCCCCGGCCCCGCTGAGGAGGGTGCGGAGCCCCCCGACCCGCGTGAGGGCTCGGGGCACACGGAGCCCCCCAGCCCCGCTCGGGAGGGCCCCGGCACGGTGCCGCTCCACCCGCGGGGGGATGCGAAGGACACGGAGCCTCCCGGCACGGCGCCGCCCGGCCCGCAGGAGGGCTCGGGGCACGCGGAGCCCCCCGGCCCCGCGCGGGGCGAGCCGGGCTCGGAGCCGCTCGACCCGCAGCAGGACGGGGATGACTCGCCCCCGCCCGGCCGCGCGGAGCTGCCGCTGGTGCCCGCCGAGCTCCGCGCGCGGCTGCTGGACCCCCGGGACTACCGGCGGCGCGCCCAGGCGGTGGAGCAGCTGCGGCGGGCGCTGGAGGGCTGCAGCCCAGCCGCGCTGAGCGCCGCGCCCGCCGCCGCCCTGCGCGGGCTCATCGCGCTGCTGGACGCGCTGCTGCGCGACCCCAACTTCGCGGTGGCGCGGGGCGCGCTGGAGGCCACGCGGCTGCTGGCGCTGCGGCTCGGCCGGAGGGTGCCCGCCGTGCTCGCCCCGCTGGTGGCCGCGGCCGCGCGGGCGCTCGGGGACACGCAGCCCGCGATGCGCCGGGACAGCGCCCGGCTGCTGCTGCGCCTCATGGGCGCCGCGGGGCCGCGGGCCGTGCTGCGGCTGCTGCTGCAGGAGCGGCTGCTGCGCCACCGCAGCGCCCGGCTCCGCGAGGAGCTGCTCAACACGTGCACGGCCGCGCTGCTCACCTACCCCGGCGAGCAGCTGGACCTGCCGCAGCTGGCGGCCGCGCTGGCGCCCGCGCTGCTGGACGCGAAGCGCAGGGTCCGGCACGCCGCGCTGGAGGCGCTGGCGGCGCTGGCCGCGGCCATGGGCGCCGGCGGGACCCAGGCGCTCTTCAGCGCCGTGGGCGCCCTGGAGCTGCGGGCGGGCGGCGCGGGGGCCGTGCGGGCCGTGCGGGCGCGGCTGGCCAGGAAGGCGCTGCCCAGGCTGGGCGAGCAGGGATTCGTGGAGTACGGCCTGCCCCTGCCCTCCGCCGGGCACTGCCGCGGGCGCTGCCAGCCCCCCGGCGCCGACACCGAGTGGCTGCTGATGGGCAGCAGGACGCAGAGCGCTCGCTGCGGGTGCCCCGGCGGGGAAGATGCGCCGCACGGCCCCGGCTCCAAGTGTGCCGAGCAAGGGATGAGCCCCAGGAGAGTCCTGAGCGCCGGGAGAGGGAAGAACAAGCTGCCGTGGGAATCCGAGCTGGCCGGAGACGGGGAAGGTGGCTCGGGAGTCAGGATGCCGTTCCCGAAGGGTGTGGAGCAGGTATGTAACTCCCTGGCATCCTTCATCCTAAGGCATTTCCAAGGGGAGGTTGGAAAGCTGTCAGAGGCTTGTTAAGTGGCAGCTATTTGGGAGGGATGGCTGGTGTTTTATGTGCAAGGATTTGTACCCTCACATCGGTCTGGGAGTGCAAGTTTGGGAATTCCTTGTATCAGATTTAACCAAACAACTTATCACTTAATAAACATAATTTTTGATGTTACTGGGCTCCCCGAGGCACTTCTTAGGCCTGACCATAGTGACATGTGTGTGACATGTCAACAGTGACAGGTGAACCCCAGGGAATGAGCACAAGAGTGGGGAAAATGCAGCCTTCGTTTGTATATTTGTGTTTGAGAGCACCTGCCTGACTGCTGAGAGTGTCCTGAAGCTGTCTGGGGAAGAACTGACCCATTCCTTCAGCTCAGGCTCTGAAGGCAGAGCTCTGAAGTGGGGCTGAGCCAGGGCTCTTTGACTGCCCTGGGATAAACCTGGAGGCTGCCAAATGCCTGGGTGGCTCTTGCTGCTCAGGCTGATCTCACTAGGAAAAATGTAGGTCAGGCTGGAACAGCAATTCTGACTGAGTTTTGATTTTATCACTTACCCAGTCAGCAGCTGGAAAGGGAAGGAATTTCTGGAATATTGTCCAGGTCGTTTTGCCTTTGGCAGTGGTGCTGTGACACGTGTTTTGGATACAACCCCCACGTGTGGTATCGGTGTGTGGTGGGCTTTCTGTGGTGTTTGGGGTTTTTATAAGTGGACACGTTTGATTTATCATGTCTCAACCTCCTGTGATTGAGCTGAAGCAAAGAGATCCCAGAAAATCAAAGGCTGTGCAGAGGAGATTCCTCCTGCCACGTTTACGTAGTGAGAATTTAATTCCCAGTTGCTTGGTAACTTGTTGCTGTGCTGGATGAGGTCATGGACCGTGAGTGCTCCTCTGCAGCCAGGCTGTTGGGAAACTCAAGAGCATAAATAAATGTGAGTTCATGTTTCTGTACTGTAAAACCCCAAAGTTCATGTCTAGACCTGAATGCAGACGTGCTCATCCCTTCCTTGGTGTCTGTGTTACCTTTAACTCGGGCCCCTAAAGAGATCTGTGTCTTTTTGAGTTGATGAATCAGGCAGCTGAGTTCCTCTGGGATACCTACAAACAGGCTCTGGACACCAAGATATGTAGGAAACACCTCCAGAGCAAGAAGGGTTTTCTTTTTGAAGCAGTTTTGCAGTATTGACTAAGACAGCTTGTAGAAATATCAGTTGCCAGTGCTCTCCAGGCAGGTTGGGCTGAGCCCTGTGCTGCTGCTCTGTGTGGTTTTCTGAACACAAAGCAAGTTAATACAGGCACCAAAGCCTGGCTGGAGCTTGGAATGGGGGAAGGTGCTCTGGAGAAGGTCCTTTTCTAAAAGGAATTAACCTTTTGTGCACGTGGTTGTGTTTATCCCTGTAAAGTGGGAGGAGTGCCCGAGGTTTCCAACCCTGGAGAGAGGGAGAGAAAGCAGTTCACTTCTGGATTCTGTTTTGTTGATATTCAGAGTGCATTTAGAGATGGTGTCAGTCATAGAATCATGGAGTGTTTGGGTTGGAAGGGATCTTAAAGGTCACATTTCAAACTCCTGCCATGGGCAGGGACACCTTCCACCAGCCCAGTTTGCTCCAAGCCCCATCCAACCTTGGACACTTGCAGGGATCCAGGGGCAGCCACAGCTTCTCTGGGCAACCTGGGCCAGGGCCTCCCCACCCTCCCAGGGAAGATTTCCTTCCCAAGAATTTCCTGTGCTTGGGACAGCCCTTCTGAACTGAGGTTGCCATGAGCTGTATAAATAAAGCTCCTGTGCTGGGGGCATCCAGAAATCAGTGTGTGTGTGGGAAGGCAGCCCTGGATCTCCCCTTAACTCCCTCCAGTGAGGTAAATTCATTTATCATGCATGGAATTCTGGTACTTGACTTGACATTTAAAATATTAATTATTAATTCAGACATTCCTTTGAAATGAATTTGCTTAAAAATTAACTTCTGGAGTCATTCTGTGGCTGAAGGGATGCATGGAAGGAGCTTAATATTTAAAGCAGTTTTCCTGCCAGGATTTTTAGGGTCATGTTACACAGTGGCTGTCCAAGGCCATGTCTAGACTTTCCTGATCAGATAAGATGTGAAGTAAAACATGTGTAAGTTAATGTGTACTAAAAATAAAAGGTAGATAAAGCACAGTGACTCCAAGGGCTTGGCAGCTTCTCCAGAGAGTTGTGGATTCTCCATCCCTGAAAGTGTCCAAGGCCAGGTTGGACGGGGCTTGGATCAGCCTGGGATAGTGGAGGTGTCCCTGCCCATGGCAGGGGAGGGATGAGGTGGGCTTTGAGGTCCTTCCAACCCAAAGCATTCCATGATTCTGTCAGTGCTGGTTAATTGGGTTCTTGACAAAACATTTCTCAAGCAGTTGAACTCAGCCTGCTGTGACCAAACCTCCTGGTTCTCCAGTGGTTTCCCAGCCTTGCCATCCATGAGGGGTCACACTAGTGAGTCCAGGAATGCTGCAAGCAATCCCAGATTCCCTTTTGAACTCTCATCTTCTCTGACTCTGTAACGTGAAGGACAAGGTGGTTACCCCAGAATAAGCTAACAGAGTTCTCACTGACCTATTGGTAGCTGAGCCTTCCTGTGTTTTCCTTGGAAATTCAGTGTGCTATATGGAAAACACCATGCCTAGGGATTATTGTAGGGCAAGAGTTACCCCCTGTGAAACACAGACCATGCATCTGCTGTTGGAGGTGCCTTTTGGTACCCAAAGGTTCCCTTTTGGGGGAAACAAGAGCACTTGAACATCTCCCCGACGTTTCCAGCCCTGTCACAAAGTACTTGTGACCTCTGTGATCTCCCAGAACTGCAGTGTTGGGCAACACTGTGGAATTCTCCTCATTTCCATCCTGATCCCATAACAGAGAACCTCAGAGCTGGGCTTTATGGGGACCTCAGTGGGTGTGCAAGTGTGAAATCAGATTTATGGAACAACAGCTCTCTGTTTTAGCAAGGATCAGAGGCACACAGAGTCAGTGGGATAAGGCTGCCTGTTCTTGGGAATTGGGGTGGCACTGGCACGGGAGCTCTGGCCTTTCTGGAGGCTGCAGGAGTATTTTGGGGAGATATCATTCTGTATTTGTGTATTGTAGGTCTTTTCCCTGGGAGCCTGT